TATTGAAATTGCTCCTAAGCATAAATGCTTCTACGGATCTTAAGGTTCAAATTAAGTAATAAACCAGAACATTAGGGGACCAGGGTTCGAATTGAAATTGCAGTCTTCTGCGAGGACTTCCATATACAGCAAGTTGAACAATATTCGAGCTAGCTTAGTGACGATGAAGGTATACCTTAATTAGAGACCATAGCCATGGTTTTGCATGCTTTATTTTATTCCGGTTTAAGATACTTTATAAATTTAACTCTCAACATTTTTGTCCATATGTCATATAATCGATCGTCCAAATTAATAAAAATAGAGGAGTCGGCGTGACGTAGGGCCGTTGAGTGCACTAGCTAGGCAATATCTTGCGGATGAATTTTGGGTAGAAAAATGTCTCTGTCAATGGCCTTTCAAGTTTCACCTTTGCTTTGCTTTCCATTCTTTTATTCGAAGCTTAAGTCATTCCATGGCCATGCACTGTCACCAGCCAGGCATGCCATCTCACCACTGCTCCCCTTTTATATATATAACCCCATAAATCAGAACCAGGATCCTCTCCTGAGCAATTCTTAGGGATCTTAGGGATCCTGCAATTATGTCCGTTCATCGTATATCGGGCGGTCAGAAATCATTTTAAATTTAAATTTTAAAATTCAAATATAAATAGTACCTAACAAAAACTGACCGTACGATATAAAATGAACGGATAAGATTACGGGATTCCTAAGAAATTGCTCAGGAGAGGATCCTGATTCCATAAATCAAAGCGCATCATCACACTAGCTACTTGCCCTCTCTCTCTCTCCCTCTCTCTCTCTCTCTCTCTCTCTACACTACTCTATATCTACCTATGTACATGCACGACAACAACTTTTTCAATTGTACAATAGTAAATTGACAAAAGTTAAGGTTTTATCGTAAATTTAATTTAAAAGATGAGAAATAGTCCAACTATAACATAATCAAAGTTTTTCTTTTTTCCGATGTGGCATTTATATTTTAGACACATATGCGTCTTCGCATGTGTTGAATTTTCAAGTTTCTTACGTGTGGTGAATTTTCAAGCCTAACACGTGGATAACACAAATTGAATGACGTCGAGCACATGTATCCGTTAGGCTTTACACAAGGCACAACTTGCTCTAATATCAGGAAAAAAGTTGAGGTTTCATCTTAAAACCAATTGACAAAATAAAAAGTAGCCCAATTTACTTATAAGTATATACAACATTCTATCTTAATTAATACTGTCAACATAAACAGCACAAAAGGATTATTAATTATGAAATTATAACAACATTGCATCGCCATTGGAGAAACAGAGAAGGAAAATATCAAACAATTACAATGGGCCACGAGGGTGTAACTCTTAGTTCTTTAATGCACCGGAGATTTAGTACTTAAAATCTTGTATTTGGTTTCAAATATGCGGCAAAACATTTTCGATGTACTGAAAACATAAAACCCAGATTTTAGTCCATGGTAAAACCCTTATTAACATTTGAATTTTGTTTCCAACAATCCTCAATGCCAATATCAAAATTTTGACTCTAATATTTTCTTCTCCATTGAAAGATTCAAATCTTAAAAATCAAACCACAACAATACAAATCTAAGAATATATATACATAATTCTTGGCATTGAAGTAGAAAATCAAAAAGCTCGGTGGCAGTGGCACCACCTTTTTAAGACTCAAATATAAGTCTTGCATTAATTAGAGATGCTCTAGGCATCGAGTAAAGTTTTGAGGCAAATGTATCATTTGATTTGATTATGCATGTATCACTTAAAGATGGCCCAAAGATTTGTTGGATACATATTTCAGTTTTTTAAAGTTTTAATATTTTGTTAAAATATAGGGAAATACAAGGGAGAAAAGAGAGATGAACAAAAGTGGATGAACTTAAGAGTTTGTTTGACAAATATTTCCGTTTTAATGTTTAGTTGTCAATTTTTTGAGAAAGAAGATGTCTAAAAACTAAACACCAAACACTTCTTAATAGGTTTTTTATCATTCTAGTTTTTCTTTCCTACATTCCCTTCATTTTTCTCTCCACTCTTCATTATTATTCTTCATTCTTCGAATTCCTATGTCTCTATCAAGACAAAATTAAAAATAAAATGATGATCAAACCGCCTTAAATTACTCTGCCCACAATTACAATTACAATTACAATTACTTCATTTGAATTTTCTTTGTTCTTTTATTCATTGGTGGGGTCTTTGATTATTGGGTAGAATACAGTCTTCATGAAGATTGATATGCAAGGATTGGATGGGTATAGAGTAGTCTCATCAGCTATAGTACTAGTAGTGCGCCATGAGCCATATCCATATATAATGATGAAAAATATATGTAGGGCGCTGGCGCTCAATTTTAATTTAAATTGCATGTTCCTTGGCATGCCATATATTTCTCTTCCCAGGGTTCAAGAGAATTCGCTGATTGACGCGTCTTTGAAAAGTCCCCTTTGTGTCAAAAACAACAGACATATACAAAAGGGTTTCTTTGAGAGAGAGAGCATGTTGAATGGCTGGAAAGAAAACTGGTCAGCTTTTCAGAAACGATCAGGCAGCCAAGCCAACAACCACACCATATATGTGTCTAATTAAAATGTCAGTGTCTTGAAGTTTGGATCAGGATTCTCTGAGCAAATGAAGAGGATACTTCTGATCAGATCCATCTGTCCATTCAAATTTTATTCAACGGTTATAATTATTATAATTTTTAAATAATTCTCCTGTTTGTAATCGTTGGATAAAATTTGAACGGCTCAATGAACTTGGTCAGGAGGATCCTCTCCATTTGCTCAGGAGAGGATCCTGATCCTTGAAGTTTAACCAATTAGCACTAAGCATCCTGCAAATAGAATTTGGAAAATAAATTAACTAAACCTAATTAGATGAGTTGAGAGAGAGAGAGAGAGAGAGAGAGAGAGTTACATTTGACAAATCAGTGGCCGTACAGGAGAACCGGAGAGAGGGTGGGAAGCACATGGGTTTTGGAGGGATTACATATTCTAAATTTCCTAGTTCCTACAGTTGAAGCCCACGTCGCAGTGTTTCGATTCTTGGGTTGTGGGGAAGCAAAACACCATCATAGATGCATGCCCAAGTCCCCAATGTTTATTTGTTTATAGATAATTACCTCTTACCTCTAAATATAAAACTCAGTCCAATGTGCTCTCTGTGTATTAATATCTTAATTAGGCTTGTTCAGACACAGACAGGTAATGTCATTATGCCCTGCCACTCCCCTCTTTTTCTCAATTTCAGCCATTTACTTAATTAATTAAGCTTTCAAAAGTACGTACCCACCAAAACTGCATTCTAACCCTTGACTAGAACAAGCTGAGTTTGAGAAAAATTTATGTGTATCTAAAATATTTATTTTATTTTAGTTTTATAATATAAGTAGACAATAAGATTGATACATGTTATTTATGTAAATAAAGTAAATATATGTATTATAATTGAATAAAACTATATGATAATGCTAGAGAGATTAAATTTGGAGACAAAGTTTTGAAAACTAAAAGATATGAAAGTTGGTGATTGATTAATTACTTAAACGTTGATAAACGTGTTTATTTCTATTAGTGACACATCATTTAGTTTACAAATTTAGTTTTTCTAGTATTACTCTAAAACTATAACACCAAGTAACGGTGTTCCGAATACATCAAAAGTCCCTCGAGTCTGAGCTGAGTCTTCGAGAGCTAGTAATGATGAATTAGTATAACATTTATTGGGATTACTCTTTAAGTAATTGGAAATATAGACGATCGAGAAACAAAACTTTGATCAACTAAATAACTGAATAAGGCCGGTGGTGTCGCTTTATTAACATTCCCCAGGACATATTGATGATCGATCAGAATATTGTGATGATCGAGTTCGTGGATATTTTCAAAATAATGATTCTCAAAAGCATAATTGATATGTCTTATATATGATTATGATAAGAGTACCAAATTGAAAAGCAAATGTATAATTTATGGGGCCTAATATATGCAGCAGTGATGGCTTTAGCACATAAATCCACCATTGCTATGTAAGCCTAGAAAGGGATCTTTTAGAGATATCTCAAAAGGAGAGAGCCGTTATGTCATTTTATCTTTGGAACATATGGCAATTCTTTGATGCACACACAACATTTGCAATTAGAGATGCACAAACATTAATTTAGCTTGTTACTTTTTACTTTTCCGATCGATAAAGATACTTATACTTTACATGTAATTATTATTATTATCATGGGTTCAATGGGTGTTATCTCGAATTTGTGAAATAAAAAGTAGAAATACTATTGTAACTTTCATGATCAATGATAAATAGTAACTTAAATATACAATATTCAAGTCATTTAAAATAATGATTTAGTGATACTTCTCTCTTATTATAAGGTTTGATTTTTATGGATAACTAGTTCAATACTAATTTTTACTAATTTTTATGGATAACTAGTTCAATACTAATTTTCATAGTCAGCAAAGAGTATGATTAACCTTAATCTCAATTTTACAGTCTCTTAATATAAATATAGAATAGTGCTATCCATACATTCATTTTTACTTCTCACACACTCTTCACAATTTTGAGCCGTCATATTAAATGAATTGCAGAAGATCAATGGTTGAAAACTAACAAGGGTGCGTAGGAGGTAAAACTGAGTGTGTAAATAACACTATCCTAAATATATCGTTCTATTACAAAACAACATATATATATATATATATATATGTATGTATGTATATACAGTAGTTAGTGTTGCAAAACTTAGCATAAGAATGAACTATGTTACCTGTATAGGTACATATATGTTACACATGAATATTGATATTTCCTACACGAATAATTTATTAGAAAACAGGTGAATGTGTATTTTTCTTAATAAAGTAAAAAAATAAGAAACGAAAAAAAAAAGGAACAGTTCGACCTCTAGCTCCTTCAGCATATGTAGAATATATAGAAGAACAAATATACATATATAATATACCTGACTGACCACCATCTCTGCTCTCTTTTTTCTATTCCATCTCTCTCTCTCTCTCTCTCTGCGCAACTGTTTCATATGTCCACAAGCTTCCAAAGAAATAGAATTAATGGAAAGTGAGATTTGCAGGGTTTATTCTCTTCTAGGATGAAACAGCAGCAAACACAAACCCACATGGTCAGCTGCAGGACGTTCATGGGTGTCTCTCTCACAATCACTACTTCAAAACATTCCCATGGCACATAAACACCAGATTCAGGAATCATTTTCTTTATTACTAATATTCCATGGCTCAAGTCTTTGAGACCACCAAGCAATATTCCTGCAATCTCAAGAACAATCCAAACTTCTATTATTTGGGGTCGGTCAACAGTCCGAAATGACCATGGTTCCTCCTGCTGCTCATCATCAAAACATACCCAACCAACAACAACAACACAATCTCTACGGCGGTTATGGTGGTTGTGGTTCCAATTACACGGCGGAGATCAGCAATTTCGGTCTTATGAATACTAGTCAAGTTGTAGAAGAAGGTTATGAGTATAACAATTATTGCAATAATATTGTTATTGAATCTGATCATCATCATCATCATCAGCAGCAGCTAGCGGGAATTGATTCAATGGCCGAGGATGAGTCGAGAACTAACAGCGTAAACGAAGCAGGTTCGAGTTCTAAAGATGCTCCGGAAGATAACAAAACATGGCTCCAATTGACTATAGGCGGCGGCTCTAACAACCACCCACCTGCGACTACAGAACATCCAACCCTCAGAAGCTTACGAAGTAGTACTACTCCTTCCCGTCCCGGATTGGTTGAACTTGATCTTGATCTATTACCACCAGGCCATGATCAAGGTGGTTTTTCGTCATTACGGCAAGTGAGGTCCATGCCACATATGCCTCCAATCTTTCATGTTTCTCAACACGAAAATATTTTCCGTGCTTCTCCTTCGAATCCGTCTTTCAGGCCTCCGTTTAATTCGAGTAACGCTACGGCTTTATACTTCCAGCAACCGGGGCCGGGAATGAGTAGCTCCTCGTCGGGTTTATTTCCTCACCAGGACGTTAACTGGGCATTTAGGCCAGCAATCCCTCATAATAATATAGGGATGATGGCTTCTACTTCATCTTCTTCTGCTTCCTCTTTTATACAACTGGGTTCATCCTATTTTGCACGCCCGTTCCACCATCCTCTTCATGAATTTAATGTCGCCGGACCGAGCTTAGATTTCAGAGTTGTTGATCCTCCGAGAAGGCCCCAATCTGGCATTTGGTTTACGCTCCAAGCATCCCAAAATCAGTAAGTATTATTGCATAAAACTCCCCCTGAGTAGGTGTAATTTTCTTTGTTGAATTTATAAAACTCCCCCTCCTGCAGACATCGAGGTTTGCTAGAAAAAAAAAGTTTATTAGTACTAGAACTCATTTTCTTCCCTTTTTGTTTCTTCGTTAATCCATTTGGAAAATATTGATGATGAAACTGCATTTTCAATTAATCGGTTTGTCAATGCAGAGCAAAAGAACCATTCTTGCCCCAGATACCCAAAAGCTACTTAAGAATCAAGTAACATCTTCTATCTTTCCATCTCCTACCAGTTCTTTTTTCATTTTCTCAGCTTCAATTAATTACTATTTTCCTTTACTTAGTTCGATTTTTATTAATTTCTTGTGTGTGGAAACTTTAGGGATGGAAGAATGACAGTTCGGTTGATAAAGAAGTATCTGGTTAACAAGCTGAGATTGGATAGCGAATCAGAGGTATGTATATCATCATACACACTTCAATATAAATTGAATCGAAAAGTATTAAATTATAGAAAATTTTAGTTAATTTTTGTTAGTGCCTTGCAATATTCAAGTTGCTTACGAACTTAATTAACACCATGAAGAAGCAAATATGATGACAAACATTAATAAAGAACATACAGAAAACTGACCTTTTGTTTTTATCAATTAACTAGGTATAAGCAGTAAGCACATGGTGTTAGAGACATGATAGGAACAGCAGAACTAAAATGGGGTTCTGTAGTGCTATTTGTTTCTTATGCTCATAGAACCATATTTAGGTAGTAAGTAGATTTAGGTCTTCCCTTTTTTTGTTCATAATCATCTATTTCTCTATTAAAGGGAAAAACTAAAATGGGTCATCTGCTTGTGTTTAGTTAGTTACGGAGTGTTTAATTGGTGATGGAAATTAACATACTTACTGGCCAAGAGGTACTTTACCTACCACCGCTTTTGCTCAAACCTCAAAATTAATGGTTCGATAAAGAGGTTTTCTCTTTCATATCTAAAAATAATGAAAATAACATTTCATCGAAATGGCAATACTCCTGCATGGAAAGCAGAATAAAGCAACCAATATTCAAAAAACATAAAGAAAAAATGTATATTATCAATACCAAAGATAGAAACACCACTATTAAGAAAGACGGTAACAAAGAAATAATGGATTGACAAAAAAGATGAGCAAACAATATATAGATGTAAGCCCTTCCTTGCCACACTTAAAACAACTCTTTCTTATCCACACACTAAGACAGTGATTGAGCCTGCAGTGGAGTTGTTACACTTAAACCCTATATGAGAAATGGTTTTTAGTTGTTACTTGAGGACTGGTTTAACAAGTCGCTGCAAATCAAAACCAGTGCTTTCCCCAATATTATAACTAATATATATTTTTTTCTTTTGTTATATCATAACTAATATATACGTGTACATGCATATTGAGCATAGACGTTCACTTGGAGTTTTTTCACTTCTAATAGATGGAATGAGTATCGGTGTCCTGGATTGATGTGTAAACTATTTTTTGGATATATTAAATATACTGAAATTTAATAAAAATTTCACAGTAAGTTTTTGTAATATCTATTACTGAAAGTCATAAAATAAGATGCAGTACTTGAACACTTTGAGCTTAAATCCAGACCCCAAAAAAAATTTAGCCTATATATATATATGCCAGTACCCCTTCACTATTTGTTCCCTACTAGCGACTCCCTCTATTTTTTTCCGCATGCAAAAAGTATTAATGTTTTTGTTAAGAGAAACCATGACTGGTATTAAACAGGTATAGAAAAATTAGGTTTAACCGTAGTAGTATGCAGAAAGCATTATATAGGTGAATGAGATGCAATGCAATGCACATCATGAAATGATAATTTGTATATGATGTGCACATTATTGCGGCACATAATTTTACAAAACTCTTTTAACACACGTTTCATCATGAAGTACCCATATATGTTTCCTAATAATTATGCTCAAGTTAAAATTCCTTCCGTATCTTAAAAATATGTGTATGCAATTCATGTTATAACGTATACCAATATAAGCAGGCTTAAGCTTTGCACTAGTGAAGTCATGGCCTGACTATTAGCAAGGCAGGTTTCTTAAAATTATTGAATCTTTATGCAATGAGCAAAGTTTAATTTAATTCATTGATCATGGATCGTAGGAAAAAAATCTTGACCAAAAAGAAAATTAATGATGAAATTTAGATTAACAGCTTAAAGAGTAAGACATAATTGTAGATAAAATTAAGATGAAGCCTCAGTTGTATTCAATACTAAATGTTACGCGGAGGCCTAAATGATTCTAAAGCCAGCTTATATATCTATTATTTGAAACTCGAGGCATAATTCATGAAAAAAAAAATCGAGGCATAATGCATATGCATGTAGATATATATATATATATGTTTATGATATATTTAAATTCCGTGCATGCAAGTTTAAGCTATAAGCGATTGTTTTAAGTTATAATTAATATCTAGTTGTCCTCATTGATCTAAGAAACATACGTCTCTTCTTATTAAAGAAAAGACACATAAATAAAAAAAAGTATGATCCTTAGTTTAGCAAATTGTGTTTCTCAATATAAATGGCTTAATGGGTCGTTGTTTACAATTTTCTGCTAAGTTATTTGCGGTTCTTCAGTAAGTATGTATATTCAAATTAAAACAACTGAGTGGATCATCGAGTGAATCAATAAAAAAGAAGTTGCCTGGAAGAATAAAATTGGTTTGTAAGTAATATACGTCAACAACATAAAAATAATTAAGAAAAATAAATTATAGACTTATACAGGGATGCCAGTTTGCTTTTAGGTATACGAAGAGTGTTGGAATGGAAAAATAAAATGTCGAAGGTCCTAGCAAAAACGGTTTTAAGTTATTACCCACGTATTGATCGTATATTAGGTACTTGAATTTAGGTTTTAAACCGAATGTATGAATAACATAAGAATGATCTAAAAATTAGAGATTCATTAAAAAAAAAATTATGCGGTTCAAGTTATTGAAATACATTATGTGGTAGGCCTAAGAACACTCATTATTATTTTTTAAATAAAATAAAGAGAGACTTTGGATCCTTGGCTATCAATGTTCTATGACTGAATCTTATTGGTTTTCTGCATATCGAAGTTCCTGACATTAATATGATAATGTATTTCTATGCAGGTTACTATATTTTTTAAACCAAAAATTAAAATTTGTAATTGTTTACATTAATGAGATTTAAAAAAAAACCTATAATTTGTGCGATTAAAAATATTAAAATATAAATTACACTCTACAATATATTGTATGTACATAAACATGGGTGCACTCATCAAAATCAACAAAAAAATTATTGTACCAAAACATGGGTACATTCTTCAAAAGCACACACACACAAAAAAAAAAGATATTAGGTTTAATAACATTAGTAAATTTCTTAAATTAAACTTGACATGAATACATTCTCCAATCAATGAATTGAAAATTGAATTAATTTTATATAAAAAAAAGGTACATTTTACATGCAGCAAATTGATATATTTAAGAACGGGTACATTTAAGATTACAAAATTTGAATATCTTTTTATAAAAACTAATGGGTTACAAACTTGTTCTAATTTTATTTTTTTTATTTTGGATTTTGTTTAATTGAAAATTAATTAGGAGTTTAATGAAGGTGTGAGTATTAAAACCTATATTAATTTCTATTTTTATTTCAAAAAATTAAGTAACTAACATGTAAATTCATTATTACATTAATGCTAGGGACTTCGATTAAAATCTAAATACTAATAAGGTTCCAGTCAATGAACATTAGTAACTATGGACCAAATACTAATTTTTCCTAAAATAAATGTATATAATAAAAGAACTTAGTTCATTTCAAACTCGAGACGCATATGTAGAACCCAACACCCTATCCACCAGGATTAAACTATATACATTTCAAAGATACATTTATATACCATGTACTTACGATAATTTCATAATATGTGTGAAGCAAGACAAAAAAAATGATATTACCTTCATATATATGACACCAGTTCTGCTCTCCTAATAAAGATTCTCGTTTGAGTACCTGTGAAGACCAAAGCATATTAGCCATAAAATTATATTAGTTTAGATCATAGGCTTAAAATATTTGACAACTTAATAAAGCAAAAAAAAAAAAAAAAAAAAAAAAGAGTTTGTCATGGTTCGTGAATTTTAAATTGGTTTTTAGTGTATAGGATCTCTTCATTAAGAAACTAAGAATACAAAACGAAATCATAACTGAAGGAATATAATTTAATAACGAAAACCACGTAGTGGTGTAGTTGAATTTGTCTTCTCTTGACCTAAATTATATATCATCTGCATCTTTAAATATAAAAAAACTATATATTATGGGGTGTGATATTCACACACCCCTTTTTACTTCTCCCACACCTTTTTAGTTTTCGGCCGTCGGATCGGATGAATTGAAGAAGATCAACGGACATAAATTAACAAGGGTGTGTGAGAAGTAAAAAGGGGTGTGTGGATAGCACACCCCTATATTATATGCATATACGATGTCTAGTTACCTTGTTAAATTTTTTAGTAATGATATATAGATAGGGATACATGTTTGATCTGTATACTCTACATGCCAATTTTCTTATAAATAAGTTTTGCAATTCAAGTTCGATCGGTATGTTTTTTGTTAAAATTCATACAAATTAGTTGTTGACTCCACACCTTTAACAGTTTTAAGTTAAACGAAAATATAAAATAGTTGAAAGAATGATAAACCAACAACACGTATATGAATCTTACTGGTCAATATTTTACGATGATTTGATACGTTACTTAATTATTTCTTTGTACAACATGCCCCTAAGTTAGGAGATAAGATGGAGACACTATCTTATAATAATAATAATCAATCCTCACAAAACAGCTAATCTGTGTGCAAACGACCAACAATCAAATTTTGCAGATAGTGTTTTCATGCACCCATATATTTCCAAATTAATTCTATACCATATTAATAAAATATAGCAATTATTTAGGATGTGTAACACACTAAACATGCTCTCCTTGCTTTTATTTATTAATATAAGTTGGTTAGTTCTCGTACTTTGTTATATATAAGTCAATCACACACCATTGAATTGGCAATTTCTTTGTTCATTAGGATCCACCGCCCAGAGTGGTGTGAATCCCTTGCTGCATACTTTTAGTAGGGAGAAATTTAATAGGAAAACTAATGAAAAGGGCTTGAAAACCTTGAGTTTTAACGATAAAGATAAAATAAAGGGTAAAGTGAATAGTATCAGGTTTGACTTTTTAATGTAAAAATGTTGTTTTTCGTTAAAATTAACAGTACTACGACCTTTTCGTTAAAACTCTCAAATTTAATTAAATTCTATGCCGTACCTGGAAAGCCAACTCGTACCCTTCACACCTGGCATGCAACTAAATACCCAATGATTAGGTTTATAATTGGAGGGTGTGAAAGATGAACTCCATTTAACTTATTACATAAAAATAAACTTCATGTATAAAATTTTTAAAAAAAATATAACCTCTAATGATTCTTGCGTAAACTAGGATTGTTTCTATGATATGATTCTCAGATGATCAAGATATGATCTTTTGTGTTCTTTGGTTTGTTTTCACACTAGCTAGCTAGGCATGCATCATATATATCTCTAATATATTTTGTGATGATTAGCCACAATCCATTTGCATGATAAATTATTTTTTATGGACATGAATATTTAACATCTAGTGCAATAATCAGAGGTGGGATTTTTTCCAACCTTTTCTTTTTTGTAATTCCTTCATTGACTTTAAGCTCTTGCAAATCAAACATCTTCGATCATCTTGGATTATCGTGCCCACTTGACACTTATTACCATACGAAAAAGTGTCGATAATAACACATATTGGTCGGTCTAAATTATATCGTAGGGTTTCAAAAAACACACGTGGACCCTGTCATTCTCGAAACCCATTGCATGCTCTCTCTCTCTCTCTCTCTCTCTCTCTCTCTCTCTCTCTCTCTCTCTCGTTTTCCTTTCGTCACGCTTTCGTTTCTTTGAACTCATCTATCATCTTTTCCATTCGAAAGCTAATATTGTAGGGCCTTCTAATTTGCATTCTTTTCCTAAATTTGCACTGTTTGTGCTAAAAAAAGGTCCTCCAAAACCTTAAGTGCTGCACTTAGTTGCATGGAATTTAAAAGACACCCCATCATCATCATCCACAAACCAAACTTGAATAGATAGACCCAAAATATTAATTTATATATAGTAGTATAAGAGTTAATGAGTAAATCTGCAACTGAACAATTCCAATCAAGTTGTTCATATAAGAACAAAAATAAAATCACGAGAGACAGATAAGAACCATGAAGTTTAATGAATACTTTACAGTTTGTGAATGCGATGCATGCACACTAAAGAAATACAAGGATAATCCCTGTTAGCTAATATAAAAACGACACTTTAACAACTTGGTTTTGCCAGAATTTAAGCAGTGTATTAGAGATTATAATATTAAGTTAAAAAACGTCTATTTTATTAGCCAAAGAAGAACATACGGTGGAAGCTACTTCATGAAGGAATATTGACCTTTCGTATTAGGGTTTTCAGAAGCAACGTGAAAGAGACGTGCATGAAGATGAAATTGGATTGGAAAGTTGGAATAGTTAGGCTTTGGGCCCTTTCGAAAATATAAAAAGATAGGTAGTGCCTATTCGTCGCCGTGCTTTTTGGATCCATTACGTGATTTTTTGGATTTATTTTTAATCATTTATATTATTTGATGTATCTTATTAGTATAATATTAAAGTCCAAAGCGTCATTATTTTGGCTTACCAGCAAAGTCTGAGTAGGTCCTGTAATCATTAAATCCGGGAAGTCTAAGATGGTGGGATGGCGGGCAGCTCCTCATACAGTCGATTTTCATGGCGGGCAACCCCTCATACTGCCCGTGATACTTTGGTTTTTCACATATCATTATTTTCCTTTATATTTTTTGGAATGAAGATATATCAACGGGGACTGTGGGTGTGGGGTACGAAGAATCTGTTGGAGTAGAGATAAAAAGTTGAGAGAGATTTATGGGTAAAGTAGACGTTACAAAGATTTGTATGGAGCATAGCATGGAATAGACGTAAGCTAGTGACAAAGCATGACTTCAACACTACATAATATTCAGGGATTTTGTCTTCTTTATTTTTAATACATAACTCATATAATTTTCAATAAATATAGTTTCAAGTGAAATATACATAGTTATCCGACGTGATAAGATAAATCGATAAACAAATCTAAAACGTTATATAATCAATTACAATGTAGAGTCTTTTGTGTTTTGTGTGGCAGGGGCGTATTGCACCTAATTTCTAGGGTTTATTATATGCTCGATTAAAATCTGCATGGCTATCAATTACACTTAGCTAAAGAAAAGAAAAAAAGCGAGTTGCACCATAATGTTGTCCTTGCATGCACAATAATTATGCACGTATGATATGATTGCAAGTACGAACTTCACTTTTTCATGCATGTGAAATCCCATCGTTACTAATAATTAGTTTTGTTTCTTCTTTACTTGTTTGTTTCTGTTAATTATCATTATTAATTCATGTAATTAGTTCTTCAATAATAAATTTACGTGTATATGCGCAAGTGTCTGTACATGTATGTATGTGGGTGTATATACATATATATGATTGGGATTGATATGAACGTTAGCAGGTAGAGATAACATGTAGAGGACAGGAGCTTCTACCTTTCTTGACGTTGCAGCATGTAAGAGACAACATCTGGAGTCTAAGGGACGCACTCACTTTGCTTCCAGACTCCTCAACCACTGATCATGTCATGGTGCTGAACTATGCTAGGACCACGACGATGACGAAGACGACGACTACTACAACCGCTTGATTAAAGCTACTCCTCGATTGAGAGTTTTTCCCCATAATTTGATCGATCGTTCGGGTCCCATGTTCTTGTATCATTGTTTATTTAATTATGCAAAACCCCTTGGCCCTTTCCTCGTTTTGGCATTCTTTTACTCTTTCCCCCCCCCTTAATTTATAATGGTTTTTTCTTTTTCTCTTCACTTCTCACTTCTCTAATTGTTGGAGAACAATACCCCAAAATCAGTATTTATTATACGGTTTCGGGGCTAATGACCTTAATTAATCCAACTGTATCTCTAAGCTACGACGGGATTATTGATATTTATTCTCATTATTTATGTTAACTAGTACAAGCTCCAGAGGGACTATGTACTATTTTTTTATTTTAACAAATGATATTATTTACATTAAGATGAAGATGATGGGCTTAGCCTCATCATGGACTAGCAATATTATGGTTTAAATTCGTCTTTGGCGAAAATCGAACCTAAGACCTCTTACTTACAAGTGAAGAGGAATATCACTATATCGTAATATTAAGTGACATTTACTATTTTGTTAAGAACCCATCTTATTTGAATCACATCCTAAACCACATGATGTAGTAGATGACATTTATATATTATGTCATTTCATATAATTAAATGTATTTTCATCTTTTAATCTCCTCATACGCTGCCGTCTTCTCCCCAGATCGTTGATCAACCCTTCTCTCTCTAGGAAAGTCAACCTTTAACAAGGATACTGATAGAACCCAAATCTCATCACACAATCAATTCCCAGGGGAAACAATGAAAGAAAAAAAAAGTGCATTTTTCTCCCTAGACTCAAGTGATGGTAATGCTTATCACATATCTATCTATTTATCATCACTGAACGAGTTTAAATTTTAAAATTTGTGAATATCTATCACACATATCTTTATTAAACTCATCAAACGGTGATAAATAGTTTTGTAAGCATCATCAACACTTAAAAGATGGTGAGAAAAAAATACCAAAAAAACACTTCAATTCCCCAAAAGATCTCAGTAAATCCCAACATCCATTGACGTGAAACCAAGATTGTCTTATTTCTCATTCCAATATCCTTAGCGTCCATTGAAAGGAGAGATGACAGAAGGAGTTTTAGAGTCTGAGGGTCTCCGCAACACCGGCGGCGGTGCAAAAGGCGTGGGTGGTGGTTTGTCGAGGAGCTATAGGTTCCCAAACTTAACTGCTTACCTTGGTAATTGGGTTTTTTTTAATTTTAATTTTATTTTTTATTACTCTCTAAACAAACAATAGTATCTATATTAAGGGGGTGGAAGAGTGACCTAAAACCTCTCACTTATAAGTGAAGAAAAATATCATTAAATCGTAATACTAAGGGACTATTGGTAATTGGTTTTAATTGATTATGTTGATAAAAGTTTAAAATACATGTAGATTGCTTCAAATGATTTGGAAATTCAACATCACATGCCCCATAAGGTGGTTTAGAGATGTGGTTCAAATAAGGTGGTTTGCTTAGTATTTTCATTTTTTGTTTTTTAAGTTTTAGTTTTCATTTTCATGTCATAGAAAGAGAAAAAAGTATGTGAGAAAAATAAGAAGGGATGTGATATCCACATACTCCTTTTTACTTCTTCCATACCTTTTTTTATTTTCGACCGTCGGATCGGATGAATTGAAGAAGATCAATGGACATAAATTAACAAGGAGTGTGTGAGAAGTAAAAAATGGTGTGTGGATAGCACATCCCAAATAAGAAATGCAGAAGAAATGTACATGAACTAACAAACAAAACGAAAACTAAAACAATTTTGAGCTATTTTCAATCTCCATTTTTTATATACATATAATATAATTTCCATCACTTCTCCCACCACCTTCCTTTATCTTTATCATTCTCCATTATCCACTACTAACAAAAAATAAACTAAAAACCAAATACATAATAGTTTAAAGAGAACTTTAATGAAAAGCTCTCGGTACTGTTCACTCTAACAAAAAACCTCATTTTTACACTAAAGATTCAATCATAATACTGTTCACTTTACCCTTTATTTTATCCTAATCATTAAACTCCAAGTTTTCAAGCTATTTTCATTAGTTTTCTTTAGTTTAAACTCAAAGAATATGCATCTTTTACTTTTTTCAATTTGGTTTATCTTTTGTTAATGATCAAACCAAACCATGGGAAATAAAGTAGTATGTGACGTAATCACCAATGCACTTGGACTTGGATTGCTTTGTTTGGGCTTCAAGATCCAAGACAAGCCCACAACATAGATGAATTTGAGGCTCCAATCCTTTTGTTTTAGCTGGATTAATTCAGAATATGATGCCAGCATTTTCTCGTGAATCTGCTGCAAGTACATCTTCTGCAAAACTCTCAAAAAGGCAAGACTTACTGCCACCGGTGTACCGCCTCAAGGTATCCAACAAAGATAGTTGTGCGTTACTAACCAAAAATTGAAGCCGACGAAAGATAGTTAGGACATTCACTGGATTTTCAACTTCGTGAACGCAGGCAATGACTTCTGCCCCGCTTACCAACAAAGTGAATGTGCTTGTGAACCGGCTTTGGACTTAAGGATTCATAGATATCGAGAGACCTGGGCATTGCTTGAAGTTGATGATGACCGATGACGACTTTCGAAGAAATTGCCGTGGCCTCAAAGCACACAGCCCAGATGAGTTCATACAGTTTTCCTCCTAAAGAAAGAAAGTTAGCTTGAGAATCATAAGAGATGTAGACCGAAGCTGAACCTACGAAGACTGAGAGTATGACAGAGCTACGTACGAAATGCTAAAGGAAAACAAGGTGACAAGATTAACGAGGCCAAACCATAAGAAATACGAGCATCCAGATCATATTATGGCACAATGAACTTTAAAAAGGTCAAGTTGTATGAAACATTCCAGCAGAGACCAATTACAACTGTTGGGCCAAGGAGGAAAAACATCCTAAAACCTATTACGGATTAGGAAAAGCTTTAGGGAAAAATCCAGTAGAAATAGTACAAGAATAACTGACAAGGCAAAATGCGTTACACCAAATATTTTACCACAAGTGCACTGTCTGTAGGTTAACAACACCACTGTTTCTCAAATACTCAAATTTCACCACCTCCACAAGCATTAAAAGAAACAACTCCTACATCATCAATTATGCAGCCAAGGAACATGCGATTTCTGTGTAGACTGCATGACCACCCAACTATCTATCAAAGATTTTTTGCACACATTAGCGTAGCTCGTAAAACTATGATTCTTTTGCTGTTGTTCCTAGACCATGTACTCAAACACAACAAAAAACAAATTCACAATCAGTTGTTATGCCTGCGCTGTACTGGGGTCGGGTTAAGGTACTAGATTCAGTTCTTGCCAGACAAGAAATACCACACACGGCATTGCTTTAGAGTTTTGGGATCAAATCCACCGCAGCATCCTCCTTGACAAGTGATAAATAACCCCTTTTAATGCTTAGAAACAAGTGAACCATCAATATTCATTTCTTATAACCGCTACCAAATGGTTCCTACCCTGTCCTCCCATCGCCCAAACTATATTGTATGAAGTATGTCATCACACTAAGCATTGAAGCCAACACTATCGGTTACCAGTTTACAGACGGTAGTATGGAGAACAAAGCTTTCCCGACATAAACGAAGGAACCTCAAAAGAATATCAATATCAATACAACGATCCTATCATCCAACCCAAACAAGAATACAATCCTATCATCCGAGCTACGTATCATTTCAACCGACAACAACATAACTGCCACGCTAGTTTAATTCGCAACATGCGGCTAGAAACCTACGAACGTGCAATAAACGCGAGAAGCAAAGGGCATCACAAAAGGAAGGATGAAACGAAAACCGGTTCCAAACTACTCATTTAACATAAACTTTATTCGAATCAAAATATGGTAGTGTTACATCAACAAACTATAAGTCGAAACTCTAGCTCAAAAACTACAGAAAACTCCCATTGCGTTGATGGGAAAACAACAATTAAAGTAGAAAAAGATGAACAAATAGGTAATGTTACAACACAAACTATGATTATCATTCTTGTGATTATGTTATTGTAAGAACAAAAGGATTACACTATTCTACTAAACCAAAAAAACAAGAAAAAAGAACAAGGAAAGCCAGACTCACGAGAACCCCTTCCGGAGCTTCTGGATGGCGGCGTACATTTTCCGCCGTGAACCGACGGCGTTAATACCCATATCCTTAAGATCCTCCAACGTCAGCATCGGCAGCACCTCGTCGTCCACCTCGTGTATCTCGAACACCGGCGTGTACCGGCTCAGCCCCAATTCTATCAGCCACGACCTCACTCCACTCCAATTCGACTCCGGCATGTTATCCGCCTCAACGGCATCGTTCTCCCTGCTCACCGACGCCCTAGCCCAATTTCCTGCCATCCTCCTCTGCCCATCCCACATATCCTCCCCCGCGTCGTCCCCCGAGTTCACCGGAGTGCTGCCCCTCACCGGACTATCCTGATCGGGATCCGCGCTGAACCACTCGCCTCCCTCCTCTCTGCTATCGCCGTCGTCGAGCTTCGAATTGGAAGCCCAATTCGATCGGATCCTCTTGGTCCCCGTGGCTCGCTTCGCCTTGACTCTCCGGCTCCCGAACTCGAACCCTCCGTCGCCATTTTGGTTCCTCTCATCGGGCGGCGTCATTTCGTTGGACTCGTTGCCGTTGACGAGGTTGATGATTGACCGGGCCTTGACCGATTTGGAGTCCTTGGGGAGCCTCCAGCCGGGCCTGGCTCGTCGCATATGTGATTCAAATGCGCCAGTAGCGGCAGGCTGGTCGCCGATCTCGCCTAATCGGACGCTGGGGCGTCGCTGCCGTTTGGGGCCCAATTGGCCGTGGTTCTCCGCGGCGTGTACGGCCGTTGTGGTTGCTATTGCCGTTATGGCAGTTAAGGATGTTTCTGTATTTATCAGCTGTGTCGTTGTGGTGGCTGGAATTGTCGGGCCGGCGGTGATTGGAGCTTCCGGTGGCTGTAGCTCAGCTGCCATGAGAGTGAAGTGGGAAAAGGGTTCAGAGAGTGCGCGTAGGATAAGGGATCTGCTAGTTCTAGATAAGCATCCATGTCTCAATGTCCACCGTTGGATCAGGATCATTGGTTGATAATCCAACGGCGGCGGTAAGGGCGATGGGATTTTTTAAATACTTGGGCCTGGAGTGCTCCGTCGCTCTGCCTTATGGACTCGTATGTAGAACCGTCCTTCTACCCAAATGGGTTGGACATAGCCGACCTGAATAATAGTACGGATGCCCTTGCATAACTTCTTGAGATATTTTATTGTTTTACATACAATCGGTTTTTTTTTTTTCTCGAATTTTATTCTTAGCAACTCCTATATTCGAACAAAGTATTTTCTAATTAAATTACAAATTACAAATGTTTAGAAAAGGCTCTATTATTATTTCGTGAGACAATCTACATTGATATAATAAAAGTTAAGAACCTACGACAATCACAGATCACCCGGCCACATCTCAAATTCATTCTTCCCATCACTCCTTTCAATCTCATACCACCACCGTGAACTGGAAGCCTCGAAGCCACCACCACAAATTCCAGTCAATTTCCTTTCTCCACGGACGGAGGAGGAAAAACTTTGAACTCACTACTTGTTACAATGCTGGAAAGACCGAATGATAAATCACTAGATTAAGCGCTAATTAGTAGCCAATTTTGAACTTGAAGATCAGATACCAACTAAAAATTTGAACAAAATTTGTAGCCGATCGAAGATGGCATAAACATTAACGAAGTAGGCAGTTGCAAACAATCACACGTAAAGTCATGCAGCTTCCATTCAAACAATTTTGGCACCACCATGTTGCGCATCCAGAAGCACCAAATCTGAAACTGTAGGCGCCAATTAACCTTGCTTGAGTACCGAACTAAAGCGTCTATTTTTTCTTGTTTTTTCCTGGAATGAATTAGATCAAAATTATACGTATTATAAAAGAAAAAACTGGATTGCAAAATGAAATACCAGGAGAGTCTTGGGCAGAATGCGATCTCCGCTGTCGTGATTGGAATTTCGCGACTTCAGAACTAAAAACAAATTGAGAAAAATATTAGAGCTTATACAAGAAAGCAAGAAACAAATAAAGTATTTTTACACCACAAAGAAGCTAAAAACACAATTTGTATCAGTTGCAGCTTATACCGCTGTGCAATATAAGAGAGATGTTCCTTTTAATTGCTTCTTTCTAGCTGCTCAAAGAAGGGTAGTACTATATTACCAACAATTTCCTTATCTGGTATGCTTAGGTTACAATTATTGAAATTTAGCGAAACACAGTGAACCAAGAATTAGAACAAGCAGTATATAACAAAAGGCAGGTCGGACTGTGAGAGTAGGAGCATGAACATGAAGTAGAAAAACAGCAAAGAACAGAGAACCAACAATGGAGAATAACAGTGAAAATTTAAAGAAGATCAAAATAAATTTTAGAAAAAAGGTAATATGAAGCTGCTGAAATAAACAACACAAATGAAATCCGTCTGCGGATCCTCGCTGTAATTTTACTTGTTTAAAAGAAAACACAACACAAATGAAGTAACCGCGAGATTTTCAAATTCAAGAAGTACCTGTCCACCATGTTGGCAAATACAACGGAAGGCACGAGTTGGACTTTATCGAAATCCTCTCCTCCTACCTGAAGCCTGTTACGAAATGTCGTAGACATCCTTACGAAGCTCAACTCCCTGAGCGTAGTAAGATACCTCAGCCCGTTTGGAACTTCGGTCAATCTGTAGCAAGCTTGTATGAACAATCGGCGGAGGCTCGGCATGGCTCCTCTTTCCACCTTCAAGTCCTTTAACTCATACATAGAAATAAGGGAAAGACATTCAAGACGACGAAAGCCTTCGTTGGAGAAAACCAGTGTGTCCGAAATTGAACTCTCAAAAGTTTCTTCCATTAGGCATAGGATTTTCAAATTTGGCAACTTCGCTAGTACCGCCATTTGGTTGTCGTTGAGATCACACCGGCACAGAGATAACTTAGTGAAGTTTGGAAAGTGCTGAAGGTCTCCAGGTAACTCTACTGTTCGACCATTCAATTTCAGCTTGTACACATGACGACAACTGAATACTATTTGTGTTACCTCCGTGCCACTGTCAGTTCCAAGTAAGTTGTGCACATATAGAGATCGAATGCCATTGAGTGTGTTGCTTATACCTTTCAAGGTTTCCTCCAAATTTTTCAAGGGGCTTGCCAATTGTATGGCCAGTTTTCTGAGACTGGTTAATCCAGCAAGATCATTCAACTCACAACAGCGACTCGAAACATAATTTAAAGTCTGCAAATTGTGAAGAGTAGATAGGTGTAGTCTATTACCACGTGCGGTGTAATACATGTGTAATTACAAATGCCTCAGTTGCACCATCTTCCAAAATACATTTGGTAACATATCCGACCTATTACGAAAGCGAAGATTCAGAGTTTGCAAAAGTATCAAATTGCCCAGGGAAGATGGCAACCGTTTTATCAACTTTCATAACTTGATGGAACTAATTTATCAACATTTTCATCCAAGCAGATGGCAAGTCTTCGAATCTTACCCGTTGGTATTGCCTTGGCTATCATCAGAGAAGGAGGAGAATACATAGTCTCACTTCTGTGCAGTGATTTGACATTTCGGAGAAAGCCCTCCTCTTCTGACTTTATCAAACACAAGTCCCGCATAAGATCGTGAAGACGACAAGACTTGATCTTTCTAACAGAACCCTGTTCCCCAATTTGAACCACACACCTGTCCACCAGTTCATTTAAGTAGTTGTATGCTATGTCCTCCATTGTTTCTACTAAACCTTGTGTTTGTTGTAGTGGCATAGATATAAAAACTTCTGCCATCCACAGTGGAGTCAATCTTTTCACTGGTATCTCAAAATCTTCCGGGAAAATGCCTAAATACAAAAAGCATGATTTTAAGTGATAGGGTAAGTTATCATAACTCAATGACAACACCCACAATGTACTCATGCATTCTTGTTCATGGCCTTTGCCTCTTCTTATGTATGCATAAACATTGTTAAGCACTGTATCCCACTCTTCAATTGTATCCTTTCTAGCAAGGAGTCCTGCAATCACAATGACAGCTGATGGCAACCCGGCACAATGTTGAAGCATCTTCTTTCCTATTTCTTTCATCCTTCCGAAAACTTCCGAGGCTGATAAATAATGAAACACCACATTAATTATTTGTCATATTAACAACTGCATTGTCTAATGGAGAGTTAAAGAAATGAATTTATCAAATACATACAATATAAGTTAATGGTTTTAGTAAACGGATGCTAGATATCTCACCAAATACACACACACACACATATAGTTCTAGATAACTGAAAAAACAATATAATTTATGTTAGATACTATCTTTTTATCTATATATACCAGGGTAAATGGTGAATTACTCTAGTGGTTAGGATCTTCCTCTTAAACCTATTGCGTCATGCATTCAAACCTTTTTCTCTTCCCTTGCTGTAGAATATCGAACATCAATTTGGTACAAAACGTAGCCTTCCAACTAGGTTTAGTCTCCCATATATCGTTGAGCAATGTAATTGAAATAACTAGATGTACTTATACATGTGAAATTGTTTTGAAATATCTACGTGCAACGGTGCAAGAAATTGTTTGAAACCCATTTGTTTTCTTCATGTCCTCCTTGTTCGAATCTTTAGCATACACGGAGGTTTGAAAACGTATTTCTTTTTAATTTGTGTCAAATGGAATATGAAATCAATTGAAATAAGAAATTAAAGTAATCCAGGAGAATAGAATGGGGTGAGAAATTACTTATTTCTTCTCTTCCGAAGATTCTGTTCTCTGATTTAATGGAAATGCAGCTTTCAAAGACTCCCATGTCTCGATGCTCCAAATATCATCGATGACAACCAAACATCTATGTTCTTGCTGTAGAAGATAAATTCTCTTGGCTATTTCATCATCTTTCATTTTTGCAATTTCTTCTCTTTGCACGGTGGTAGCAGAAAGAAGTTTAATTAAAAGTTCTTCCCAAACATTGTTGAGAGATACATACCCAAACAAAGCTGCCAAAATGGCGTCTAACTTCATTGTGGCGATAAATCTGTTTTGCAAGAGTTGTCTTTCCCAAACCCCCCCATTCCCCACCCAAACCCCCCCATTCCCCAGATAGAAACAACTTGGTGTCTGGGCTCTTTCTTCACCAAATGCATAACCAATTTTCGTATGTCAGCTTCTAACCCGACAACATCACCATCAATAATATGAGAATAGCTTCTTCTTAGTTGTTGCTGCCTCTCATACAAAGAAGTGGCTCCTCTAGAGTCCCTTATTTCCATGATGTTATGCATTTGCAAGCTTGACCTGAAATTGGAAATCTGGGTGGTAATTTTCTCAATTTCTGAGCCAATTTTGTGAAGATCAACTCCTTCCTTCAGCACACAACCAAACCTTTTCAGAACGTTCTTAATACCTCCTTCCCTCTTCGAGGCCACTTGGAGGACAAAAATTTCTATGACATCCTCCAAATCATAAGCAGCATTTCTAATTTTCGCGACCAGAATATGTACCGTTTCATCATCTCCTTGCCTTACATGTGCATCTTTCAGAAAACCCTGCACTAATTGTAGCTCAATTTGTGCAGCCTCAACTTGATAGCTGACTCCATGCAAGAACTTCGATTCTTGAATGATTAAGTCTCCAAGCTTTGCAACCACAAACCACTGCCTCAGCAATATCGGTCGCGCGCACAAGGAAAACAACTTATAGACTTTAAGTTTCAAAGTATTTCTATTTCATAGAGTTCTGAATGAACAAGAAAATATACGTAGGCAAACAAGTAAATGGTTACAGGCAACCAAAACTTCACTCCTCGAAACAGTGTGTTTTCGAGGTTGTTTCTTCTTCAAACTTGTCCTATGAGCCTTGGGGAGTTGTAAGGAAGCTCCTACAACCTTCAAAACGTCGTGACTCGGCCGGGATCATGTCGGAATAAACTTGTCCGAGTCGGACCTTCCGAGTTGACGAGTCAAAACTCGTCCGTTTCACGATCTGGTTGTATGGTTGGGTTCGTGGAGACGAGGGGAGTACGATGGTGGAGTTTTTAAACTCGATATGTGAAGATTTGGTGAAGGTCCTTCTAGTTGCAGAGGTGAAGATGCTCGGGTGAGGATAGAGGGGGAAAAGATGGCAGATGGGGAAAGTGAGTTCTGATTGGTGGAAAAGGAAGAGGGACAAGGATTGTCTGCCCTTTACTTCCGGTGCCCTCCCCGTGCCCTCCTGTTTGTGTGATCACGGTTAAGCCACGTCAACATTTTATATTACTATTCATTTTTGTCTTATTATATCCATTAAAAAACAATATAAAATGTTGACGTAGCTTAACCGTGACCACACAAAATAGGAGGGCACCAGGAGGGCACCGAAAGTGGAGGGTAGACAATCCTTGTCCCTCCTCCTTTTCCACCAATCAGAACTCATTTTCCCCATCTGCCATCTTTTCCCCATCTCTCCTCACCCAAGCGTCTTCACCTCTGCAACTACAAGGACCTTCACCAAATCTTCACAGATCGAGTTTAAAAACTCCACCATCGTACTCCCCTCGTCTCCACGAACCCAACCATACAACCAGATCGTGAAACAGACGAGTTTTGACTCGTCAACTCAGAAGGTCCGACTCTGACAAGTTTATTCCGACGTGATCCCGGCCGAGTCACGACATTTTGAAGGTTGTAGGAGCTTCCTTACAACTCCCCGAGGCTCCTAGGACAAGTTTGAAGAAGAAACAACCTCGAAAACACACGATTTCGAGGAGTGAAGTTTTGGTTGCCTGTAACCATTTACTTGTTTGCCTACGTACATTGTCTTGTTTATTCAGAACTCTATGAAATAGAAATACTTTGAAACTTAAAGTCTATAAGTTGTTTTCCTAGTGCGCGCGACCGATATGGCTGAGGCAGTGGTTTCCGTTGTGGTTGCAAGGCTTGGAGACTTAATCATTCAAGAATCGAAGTTCTTGCATGAAGTCAGCGATCAAGTTGAGGCTGCACGAACTGAGCTACAATTAGTGCAGGGTTTTCTGAAAGATGCAGATGTAAGGCAACGAGATGATGAAACGGTACATATTCTGGTCGCAAAAATTAGAAATGCTGCTTATGATTTGGAGGATGTCATACTAATTTGGTTTATCTGTTGTTAATGATCAAACCAAACCATGGGAAATAAAGTAGTATGTGACGTAATCACCAATGCACTTAGGACTTGGATTGCTTTGTTGGGCTTCAAGATCCAAGACAAGCCCACAACATAGATGAATTTGAGGCTCCAATCCTTTTGTTTTAGCTGGATTAATTCAGAATATGATGCCAGCATTTTCTCGTGAATCTGCTGCAAGTACATCTTCCTTAAAACTCTCAAAAAGGCAAGACTAACTGCCACCGGTGTACCGGCTCAAGGTATACAACAAAGATAGTTGTGCGTTACTAACCGAAAATTGAAGCCGACGAAAGAAAGTTAGGACATTCACTGGATTTTCAACTTCGTGAACGCAGGCAATGACTTCTGCCCCGATTACCAACAAAGTGAATGTGCTTGTGAACCGGCTTTGCACGTAAGGATTCATAGATATCGAGAGACCTTGGCATTGCTTGAAGTTGACGATGACCGATGATGACTTTCGAAGAAATTGCCATGGCCTCAAAGCACACAGCCCAGATGAGTGCATACAGTTTTCCTCCTAAAGAAAGAAAGTTAGCTTGAGAATCATAAGAGATGTAGACCGAAGCTGAACCTACGAAGACTGAGAGTATGACAGAGCTACGTACAAAATGCTAAAGGAAAACAAGGTGACAAGATTAACAAGGCCAAACCATAAGAAATACGAACATCCAGATCATATTATGGCACAACGAACTTTAAAAAGGTCAAGTATTATGAAACATTGCAGCAGAGACCAATTACAACTGTTGGGCCAAAGAGAAAAAACATCCTAAAACATATTACGGATTAGGAAAAGCTTTAGGGCAAAATCCAGTAGAAATAGTACAAGACTAACTGACAAGGCAAAATACGCTACACCAAATATGTTACCGCAAGTGCACTGTCTGTAGGTTAACAACACCCCTGTTTCTCAAATACTCAAATACTCAAATTTCACCACCTCCACAATCATTTAAAAGAAACAACTCCTACATCATCAATTATGCAGCCAAGGAACATGCGATTTCTGTGTAGACTGCATGACCACCCAACTATCTATCAAAGATTATTTGCACACATTAGCGTAGCTCGCAAAACTATGATTCTTTTGCTGTTGGTCCTAGACCATGTACTCAAACACAACAAAAACCAAATTCACAATCAGTTGTTATGTTTGCGCTGTACTGGGGTCGGGTTAAGGTACTAGATTCAGTTCTTGCCAGACAAGCAATACCACACAAGGCATTACTTTTGAGTTTTCGGATCAAATCCACCACAGCATCCTTCTTAACAAATGATTAATAACCCCTTTTAATGCTTAGAAACAAGTGAACCATCAATATTCATTTCTTATAACCCCTACCAAATGGTTCCTACCCTGTCCTCCCATCACCCAAACTATATTGTATGAAGTATGTCATCACACTGAGCATTGAAGCCAACACTATCAGTTACCAGGTTACAGACAGTAGTATGGAGACCAAAGCTTTCCTGACATAAACGAAAGAACCTCAAAAGAATACCAATATAACGATCCTATCATCCAACCCAAACAAGAATACAATCCTGTCATCCGAGCTATGTATCATTTCAACCGACAACAACATAACTGCCACGCTAGTTTAATTTGCAACATGCTGCTAGAAACCTACGAACATGCAATAAATGCAAGAACCAAAGGGCATCACAAAAGGAAGGGTGAAATGAAGGCCGGTTCCAAATTACTCGTTTAACATAAACTTTATTCGAATCAAAATATGGTAGCGTTACATCAACAAACTACAAGTCGAAACTCTAGCTCAAAAACTAAAGAAAAGTCCCATTGCGTTGATGGGAAAACAACAATTAAAGTACAAAAAGATGAGCAAATAGGTAATGTTACAACACAAACTATGATTATCATTCTTGTGATTATGTTATTGTAAGAACAAAAGGATTACACTATTCTACTAAACCAAAAAGACAAGAAAAAAGAACAAGGAAAGCAAGACTCACGAGAACCCCTTCCGGAGCTTCTGGATGGCGGCGTACATTTTCCGCCGTGAACCGACGGCGTTGATGATACCCATATCCTTAAGTTCCTCCAACGTGCATCGGCAGCACCTCGTCGTCCACCTCGCGTATCTCGAACACCGGTGTGTACCGGCTCAGCCCCAATTCTATCAGCCACGACCTCACTCCACTCCAATTCAACTCCGGCATGCTATCCGCCTCAACGGCATCGTTCTCCCTGCTCACCGACGCCCTAGCCCAATTTCCCGCCGTCCTCCTCTGCCCATCCCACATATCCTCCCCCGCGTCGTCCCCCGAGTTCACCGGAGTGCTGCCCCTCACCGGACTATCCTGATCGGGATCCGCGCTGAACCACTCGCCTCCCTCCTCTCTGCTACCGCCATTGTCGAGCTTCGAATTGGAAGCCCAATTCGATCGGATCCTCTTGGTCCCCGTGGCTCGCTTCGCCTTGACTCTCCGGCTACCGAACTCGAACCCTCCGTCACCGTTTTGGTTCCTCTCATCGGGCGGCGTCATTTCGTTGGACTCGTTGCCGTTGACGAGGTTGGTGATTGACCGGGCCTTGACCGATTTGGAGTCCTTGGGGAGCCTCCAGCCGGGTCTGGCTCGTCGCATATGTGATTCAAATGAGCCAGTAGCGGAGGGCTGGTCGCCGATCTCGCCTAATCGGACATTGGGGGTCGCTGCCGTTTGGGGCCCAATTGGGGGCCGTGGTTCTCCGCGGCGTGTACGGCCGTTGTGGTTGCTATTGCCGTTGTGGCAGTTAAGGATGTTCCTGTATTTATCAGCTGTGTCGTTGTGGTGGTTGGAATTGTCGGGCCGGCGGTGATTGGAGCTTCCGGTGCTTGTAGCTCAGCTGCCATGAGAGTGAAGTGGGAAAAGGGTACAGAGAGTGCGCGTAGGATAAGGGATCTGCTAGTTCTAGATAAGCATCCATGTCTCAATGTCCACCGTTGGATCAGGATTATTGGTTGATAATCCAACGGCGGAGGTAGGGGCGATGGGACTTTTTAAATATTTGGGCCTGGAGCGCGCCGTTGCTTTGCCTTATGGACTCATATGTAGAACCGTCCTTCTACTAAAATGGGTTGGAAATAGCCTACCTGAATAATAATATAGGATGTCCTTGCATAACTTCTTGAGATATTTTACATGCAATCGGTTTTTTTTTCTTGAATTGTATTCTTAGCAACTCCTATATTCGAATAATGTATTGTCTAATTAAATCAGTAATTACAAATGTCTAGAAAAGGTCTATTGCTGTTTTGCGAGGCAATCTACATTGATATAATAAAAGTTGGGAACCTACAACAATCAGTGAATGTCCGAATTGTCTTTTTCTTACCACACCTCAAATTCATTCTTCCCATCAAACCTTTCAATCTCATACCACTACCGTGAACTTGAAGCCTCGAAGCCACGACCACAAATTCCAGTCAACTTTGTTTCTACGGATGGAGGAAAACTTTGAACTCACTACTTGTTCCAATGCTGGAAAAATCGAAAGAAATATCACTAGATTAAGAGTTAATTAGTAGCCAATTTTGAACAAAACTTGTAGCCGAAAGATCGCATAAACATTAACAAAGTAAGCAGTTACCAACAATCACAAAGACAGACGATCGCTGATGGCAAAAGAAGATGATCACAATTTTGAAATGGAAGTAGTCTCAATCAATCACACGTAAAAGTCATCCAGGTTGTATTCAAACAATTATGGCACCACCATGTTGCGCATCCAGAAGCACCAGATCTGAAACTGGAGGCGCCGACGGAGGAGGAGTATTTGCCTCTCGCTCAAACATCCCGATTTGAGAATTCTCGTCACACTTGATTATTCATACTCACAATTGAATCTATGGAAGCCTTGGTATCCAATCAACCCCAACAAGTTTTTCCTGGAATGAATTAGATCAAAATAGCAAAACAACATACCAAGAATAGTCAGTACACTGGGATAGAAATTATACGTGTTTTAAAAGAAAGAACTGGATTGCAAAATGAAAACCCCTATACTGAAATACCTGGCCAGTCTTGGGCAGAAGGCCATCTACGCGGCGGCCGTGATTGGAGTTTCGCGACTTCAGAACTAATAACAAATTGAGAAAATATTAGAGCTTATACAAGAAAGCAAGAAACAAATAAAGTATTTTCACACCACAAAGTAGCTAATAACACAATTTGGATCAGTTGCAGCTTGTACTGCTGTGCATTGTAGGAGAGATGTTCCTTTTAATTGCTTCTTTCTAGCCGCTCAAAGAACGGTAGTACTATATTACCAACAATTTCCCTATCTGGTATGCTTAGGTTACAATTATTGAAAATTTAGCGAAACACAGTGAATCGGAAATTAGAACAAGCAGTACATAAGAAGGGGCAGGTCAGACTGTCGGAGTAGGAGCATGAACATGAAGTAGAAGAACAGCAAAAAACAGAGAACCAACAATGGAGAATAACAGTAAAAATTTAAAGAAGATCAATAAATTTTAGAAAAAAAGGTAATATGAAGCTGCTGAAATAAACAACACAAATGAAATCCGTCTGCGGATCCTCGCTGTAATTTTACTTGTTTAAAAGAAAACACAACACAAATGAAGTAACCTCGAGATTTTCAAATTCAGAAGTACCTGTCCCCCATGTTGGCAAATACAACGGAACGCACGTGTTGGACTTCATCAAAATTCTCTCCTCCTACCTGGAGCCTGTTACGAAATGTCGTAGACATCCTTACGAAGCTTAACTCCCTGAGCGTAGTAAGATACCTCAGCCCGTTTGGAACTTCGGTCAATCTGTAGCAATCTTGTATGAACAATCGGCGGAGGCTCGGCATGGCTCCTCTTTCCACCTTCAAATCCTTTAACTCATACATGCAAACAAGGGAAAGACATTCAAGATGACGAAAGCCTTCGTTGGAGAAAACCAGTGTGTCTGAAAATAAACAGTTTAGATCTTTGACTGGGCCCAATTGTATCATCTGATGTGACAAGCTATGAATACAATCAACATTCAATAAAATAAATTTATTAATTGACGTAGCATGTAAAAATCACTTGTCACATTAAGTCACACACCAATTTGGTATTGCTATTTTTTTCACTAAAAAGCTACTTCACTTTGAAATTAAGCAATAAAAAAATATTTAGTAATAAAATATCCTAGTTTTAAAATCATGCTTTCATTCAAACTAGAGCTAGGCCGCTAATGAATATGTACGTTCAATAGTTTGTACAAATGACATTATTTACTTTTACACATGTATTTCCTCTGTTGAAAAAAAAGTAAAAATAAAAAAATAAAAAAGAAGAAAGAAAGATAAAAAGTAACAACTATCACCTATCACTTCAACAACCATGGTTGCCACTGTTGTAGTCACCACCATCCCATTACTATGTCTATTTTTATCATTACACACAACTGTATTATTTTTTAGTAAATTTTACCAAACGCGAATAATTTATTTTATGATTAATTATTCTTAAAGCATACAAGAATCTATCTCTTAAAAAAGCACAAAATCTTAAACTGGCCCTAACAGGTTAATCCTTGAGTGTTCCAATATATACGAACCTTTCTTTACGATCTCGTTCGACTATAGCAAATATATATGTAAATAACGAACAAAGCATTAATGAAATTTACAAAAAAAAAAAAAAGGGACCGATAACATTGAGTACATATAGAAGTGCTGATGGGGCGGGTTTGGATCGAAGGTGAAAATACCATCTCTGTCCCGCCCCAAACACCTTGATAAAAAATTTCTCAAACCCGTTTACATTCTCCATTTTCCTATTCTTCATGCACAATCCATTAGGAGAGAAATTTTTAGTTATGACGGAAAAATTGATGGTACATTACGTATTTTTATATAAGTAATGAGAAATTTTATTTTTTATGTTATTAAATTTTTAATACACATATCGTATCATTTATATAACAACTTATGATATACCATTTTATATGACGATAATATTGAAAAATCTCTTCCATTTGAGGCAAAACCCCACGACGAAGACCCGTACTATGGAAAAAAAATTATCATCTTTAAGCTTTGCTAGCTCAAAGATCTAGGTTCCATGAACCTAGTCAAGATCCACATGAATTGACGTTACTTATCTGAGTAAACCGTGTCACTCAAATAGGTGGTGTGGTTGCAGCTGTCAATTAGTGAGACCCCTTAGACGTACACCAATCTCCAGCTCAGACTTTCCTCCATCTTTTTAAAAGCAGGTCTTGCCCTTCATATGACCACACAACTCAGAGCGCGAGAGAGATGGGTGGTTTGGGTGGTTTGATATTAATGTGCTTTGAAAAAAAATAGTTTTTATTGTGCTGTAAGAATAAATGGTTGTGAAATAAATCTGTAGAGTGTTTGGTAAATTTTTTTGTAAAAATGTTTTTGTAAAAAAAAAAGTAGTATTATATTGTTTGGTAAACTTTTATGTAAAACAGATGTGAAAAAAAATCGATTTTTCAAAGCTGAGTTTTGCATCTTCTTATTTTTGGCTTTTTTTTTATCCAAAACCGTGAAAAAAAAATTGAAGCTGAATATTTACCAAACACAAAAAAACTCCCAACTTTTTTTTATAACAATTTTTTTTTTAATCACCTCAATCCCAAACTGCACCGAGTGTGAGAGTTTTCGAGAGAAAACAGTTTGCATGGGGAGCGTTACAAGTTCATATATTTTTTCGGAAAATTAATTAAGAACAAAAAATGTTCGATGTTTTCAAGAACAAGTTTACAGCTGCAGCTAACTTTAATTCGACCAAAAGAAGCAGATATGGCGGGCGTATGCGTAGACGAAAGCAGTATCAAATGAACCCTGAGGATGACCAGCTGGTTCAACAACCAGCTTCTCACGAATCGCTCACCAGCTGGTTCAACAACCAGCTTCTCACGAATCGCCTGTCTCGATTGATCCTCCTCTGTCTCTACGTCAGGTAAGGTCGAATAGGTTTTTTCAAATACATATTAATTTGTGGGTTTTTCTCAAAGAAATTTTTTTTAGATATTGCCCTCTTTCACATTTTTTTCTTTTCACTAAACATTAATGCCTTTTGCAAAAAAAAAATTTAAACAATGACGTATTATATATAGTAAGGGGCTAAAAAAATAAACTGAAAATATGATTTTAGCTCTTCAAACTCAATTTTCTTCGTATAAAACCCTACATATTTTTTTTACTCATCCACATAAGCAAATTCATTAATTTCATATTAGTTCACACATTTTACATTTTTCACATGCCTAAAATACCCCTATTACATATTTGATGTAGACAATTAATTGTAAGAGAGAGTAAATGATTTTGCAATAATAAAAAACAAGACATTAATGTTAAAAATTTATTGCATAATATTTTTTTAGAAAGGCTTTGAATTTTCATAAAACTATTCAATTTAGTTTTTTCACCCTACTCTTGAATACTTTTGAATTTATCATTTTTTTATTAATATATTAGAACACTATATTTCATTATCTGCATGCACATTAATTTACCTACAACAATTATACCATGGGTGTAATATAATATCTCTATTTTACAATGATGCAAAATACTGTGCCTAACATGTGTACTAATACATGGAAAATAATTTACCTATATTAAAAAGAAATGTAGTTCGATATGTTACACCCATGTTTATACAACAATAAAACGTGCCTAACATATTTAACAATACAAGGAAAATAATTTATCTACAAGTTAGAGAAATGTTATTTGGTTGGGTGTGGTATAAATTTTTTTAGTAATTGGAAAAATTAAATATAACTAGGTGTAGTGTAATTTCTTTTAATATAATTAGAACAAATTAATTTACCTACCTACTATTTGAAATGTTCATTTCCAATGATGCAAAATGTTCATTACCTAACTACAAATTAATTTCCAATAATTTACCTACAACAATTATACCATGGGTGTAATGTAATATCTTTCTTTACAATGATACAAAATATTGTATGTACCAACAACAAAACGTGCCTAACATAAGTACTTGTATGAAAAATAATTTACCTATAACAAAAAAAAATGCAGTTTGATGTATAAAATCAACAATATTATGTTCCACTTATGTTTATACAACAACAAAACGTGTTTAACATATATAATAATACATAGAAAACAATTTACCTACAAGTTTGAGGAATGTTATTTGATTCAAAATATATAATATAGGTGTAGTATATTTTTTAAATAATTGGAACAAACTAATTTACCAACCAATTAATATAGATAAAATTGCTACAAAATATATCACGAAAAAAAAAACTACTTTTATAGTTTGACATGGATACAATTTGTACATTTTATTTCACTTTTTCTACTACTTTTAATTTGGCATAAATTTAGGAATTTGAAAAAGAGATCATAAAGTATGAGTGGCGTGGGTGTAAATAAATTGTATTAATAAGTTAATAGTGTTCCCATATGTTTGCAAATTTTAAATTTGGGATTAAACTGGATCTTTAAAGATAGATGAGTTTTTATCTAGAAATAATGAGTTGCAAGGGTCAAAATCTAAAGCACCCAAAAATAAACTGCTATCGATCCCTTTCAAACTTTGAGTAAGGAGCTTTGATACCGTAATTGTTTTTCTATTTACTCAATTTAAATGTCGTTGTTTTAATTTTTCTATATATTGATTTCCACATTTATCCCTTTACTTGTTGGAGGTTTTCATTTTTGGCATGTTATTTATGCCTTTTTCTAAGTATAATATTAATTTTCTTGTTTTGAATATTTCTTAGAGAGAAGCAGAATTCCATTACCATATCCCAGAAGTAAAGGATGGAGGAGTATGGCTCCACTTACAATTGGACGACATGGATTATTTACGACGTTGGACTCTCCGAGCTAGAAGGGATGCTATGCGACAATTAACTTATCCAACAACGCACAACCGGTTGCCCCCAAGATTACCTTATGATCCTTTGCACGATTTTGGGATCGACTTGTTTGTTGTACCGCGAGTTTTAGAGTATAATTAGCAAACAACAGAGAACATTGCGGTCAACATTTGCGTTATGGATGCAAGTCCTAGCACCAACAATCAAGAAGGTGTCCAAACCGAAGAGGATCATCAAACAACTGTGCACGAGAACAACAATGTTGATGTGCCAGTGGCTCCAGTTGAAGAAGATCATCAAACTACGGTGAATGAGAAAAACAATGTTGGTATGGCCGTAATTATGGAAGATCATCAAGCAATGATGATAAATGCAAACAACAACGTTAGAGATAACGTAAATGTTGCAAATGAGATGATTTTTCCTAGTTTAGATGATCATACTGCGTTTAAATTGTCTTCGCTTCACCATTGTGTGAAGTGATATTTCTGGATCCTCTTATGAGTTTGGCTATCCAAGTGACGACTTCTGGGACATTGGTATGGATCATATGGAATTTGACTTCATCACTTCTCGTTGTCCAAATGAAATTTTTATGCATGGAACTGCGTAACAAAGAGACAAGAGACTTGATGCAAGTCGATAAGTGTATTTTTCTTAATTATTCTTCATTTGTAAATGAAATGTATGAGTAATGTTACGTAGATCAATTTTTTTGACCAAATTTATAAACAATGTGATGTGTCACTAACAGGAAATAAGCATGTTAATTAATTGTAGTTTATTATAGTTGGACCTTATTGTATTACAACTTAGGGTAATGCTAAGGAAACTAAATGTGTAGACTAATTTTTGTAAACTAAATGATATGGAAGTTGATAATTGGATTATTATTTAAGTGTTGATTAATGTACTTATTTCTTACTGGTGACGCATCATTTAATTTGCAATTTTAGTCTATTTAGTATTACTCTACAATTTATTGTTCAAATCAAATGGTAATGATACCTTATTCTTTAAGGTAACGCTATCCACACACATCTATGTACCTTTCGCATGCTCCTCTTTAGGGTTGGTCATGAGATTTTGGAGGTCATGAGTAAGACTCAAACGGAGGCCCTTACATGGTTTAAAAAGTTTTGGTTGTTATATTTTCTTTTATATTTTTTATTGTATATAAATAGATATAATGCCTAAATAAATAAATAAAGAAAATAAAGAAAAATGAAGCATAATGTGGTGGTCATGTACCTATTTGTGTTCTCTATATTTTTTATTCAAATCTTCTTACTTTTTAAATTCAAAAGTATGGTGTGATGACTATGTACCTATCATATCACCATACAAATACAAATACCATGATCAGAACCATTAATGCTCTTATTATCATCTAGAGTTTATTTCGAGAAAAATTTATGTGCTAAACTAATAACTAGTTATGATATTAGTAGCATCTTATAATGAACCTTTTTTATTGCATTTTTCCTCACACCCTAGAGTGAGGATGATACTTTTCCCCCTCTCCTGTTGATTGTCGAGTTAGTTAAAATTTCAACAATTAAACCAAATTAATCTAACAGTAGGTGTAGTTGTACTATAATTTTCTTTTTGAAATGGATGACTAAATAGTCTTCAAATGGAATGAAAAATAGATGATTTTAAACGATGGCAAAAAGAATAAACAATTCTGGTTATGACATGTATTCTATTAAATGATATCATATAAGAAAGGGGGGCTTTTTAAAAATTATATTGGACTTTTAAGAATTTTAATTTATTATGATATTCCTAACTACAAATTTATTAGCAAAAGTTATCTTTTATAATGAATGAAATTAAACTAAAAATATTTAAAAATATAAATAAAATAGAAAACAGTGTAGCTCAAAAAGGCCCCAAATAGTTACCCCGCACATGGCCAAAGGCCAATATGAAAGAAGAGTAAACTGTCATTTAACCCCCTGAACTATCACGTGAGTTTCAATTTCCTCCTTGAACTATTTTTTTAGCCAATTGACCCCCTAAACTATGTTAAAGTGGCCAATTAACCCCCTACCGTTAAGTATCTTTAACTCCATCCAATTTTCTGTTAGAAAGTGTCATGTGCTTGGCACATGACCACCTTTTTACATTTTATGTCTAAATCTTTACAAAGAAAACATATATAACAAATATTAAAAAAAAAAAAACTTACAAACCCTAAACTTAATCATTTAAAATAATAGAAAAGGTAAGACTTTTTATATTAACACCCCACAAAATGTTGAATGCACCCCATATTAAAATTTAATATTAAATGACTTATTTACTCCACTATGCAATGACAATTTTGACCTTATTAGGTTTTAAAAAAAAATATTATAAATACACCCTAAATCACTTTTAGCGTATTATTTATCTTCTTAACTATCAAAACCCTCTCATCCTCCATTGTTGAACAAAATTCTAACCAATGAAACTACAAATATGTTGATTGAGAAAAATTGTTTTTGACGAATGAAACACGAAATCGATGTTTCTGAAGCTTCACATGAGATAAGACTTCACATTTTTCATTGTTTTAGTGATTTCGATGACATCGATAATTATTTAATCTTGCGTTTGCTGCATTATTTTTCAATATGAACCCTAAAAGATGAATATGAATATGAATATATAAGTTTAAATAATGCAGCAAACGCAAGATTAAATAATTATCGATGTCATCGAAATCACTAAAACAATGAAAAATGTGAAGTCTTACCTCATGTGAAGCTTCAAAAACATCGATTTCGTGTTTCATTCGTCAAAAACAATTTTTCTCAATCAACGTGTTTGTAATTTCATTGGTTAGAGTTATTTTCAACAATGTAGGATGAGAGGGTTTTGATAGTTGAGAAGATAAATAATACGCTAAAAGTGATTTGGGGTGTATTTATAATTTTTTTTTAAACCTAATAAGGTCAAAATTGTCATTACATAAATAAGTCATTTAATATTAAATTTTAATATGGGGTGCATTCAACATTTTATGGGGTGTTAATATAAAAAGCCTTACCTTTTCTATTATTTTGAATGATTAAGTTTAGGGTTTGTATGTTTTTTTTTTTTAATATTTGTTTTATATGTTTTCTTTGTAAAGATTTAGACATAAAATGTAAAAAGGTGGTCATGTGCCAAGCACATGACACTTTCTAACAGAAAATTGGATGGAGTTAAAGATACTTAACGGTAAGGGGTTAATTGGCCACTTTAACATAGTTTAGGGGGTCAATTGGCTGAAAAAATAGTTCAGGGGGAAATTGAAACTCACGTGATAGTTCAGGGGGTTAAATGACAGTTTACTCTATGAAAGAAACATGGTTGAAAAAAAAAATCAAAAATAACAAATACAAAAAAGTTGGTAGTCGAACCCGTACACGGCCACAAACCCTGTCTTCATAACCCTCATTAATCAGCCATTTCAGTTCCCAACTTGAAAGCCTCTTCGACTCCTTCTCCTTCTTTCCCAAGTCCCAAGTCCAAGATATTAACAATATCGTAGATCCGCCACCTCTCAACACCTGCAAGTCGAGAAACCATTAGATCCGACGAACTAAATAGAAAGAAAGTGCAAAGGAGTTAAATATTTGGAAAAGGTGGAAACCTGTCATCGCATCATTAAGCGGCGGCATTGAGATCAATTAAAGTTGCAAACAGAGAGATGACTGAAGTTGCAGACAGAGAGACGATTGAAGTTGAAGACATCGGCAGTGGTAGAGGCACAAGTGATGCAACCATCGGGAAATGGTGATTTCTTCAGTTTTTCATTTGGGAAAGGGGAAGAGGAGAGAAAGAGATAGAGAGAGAATGGAGATGATGTGAAGATGATAAAGAAAAAAGACACTAGCAGTATGCCCAAAATCGGAAAGAAAAAAAAAGTAATTAGACCCGTGGACCCATCCTGAACTAGTCCGTTTCAAACGGGCCAGATTAGGTCCGATTCTCAAACTCAAAATCCCTCTATCTGGCCCGGCCTGTTACATTATAAAACGGGTAGATCCTATTCCTCCAAATTTGGGTTGGCCCTGCCCAGCCTGTGCCCAGCCCTATATAGAATATTAAGATGGTTTTTAGAATTCGGTAGACCCATAAAAAAAAAAATCAATAAAAAACTTAAATAATAATAAAAAAGGGTCGTCTTCTTCCCTCGCTTGGCAGAAGGTGATGAGTGCCAAGAAGGTGGTGCATAAAAATCACGTTTCTACTGGTTTGCACCATTAATTGTATTGATGTCCTCCTAATGAGAACTAGAACAACACCTGTTGCCCACTTTATTTTCTTCCCAACTTTTTCCTCCCATGTCAATACAATTTTCTCATCCCTCCAACACTCTGTCCGTTTCTACACAGCATCATCTAGTACTACCCCTTTGATTATATCCCAGGAACTTCATCACACTTAATTATATGTACATAAAATGATGAAACAAAACCCAAAAAACAAACAAACAAACAAACAAACAAAAAAGAAGAAACTAAATAATTAATGCAAACGGCAGCTTGCTAGCTCAGAGAGCTGGATTCCATGAACCATATCAACAAACGTTACTTACATATAATAATCTTATTAAGAGAGAGATTGATTAAAGTGAAATGAGAGTGGTGACGAAAAGACCCCGAGTTTATCTATCTGAGTAAATGGTGTCACTCAAATAGTTGGTGTGGTTGACGGGCGTCAGTGAGCGAGACCTCCAGGCGTACACTGATCCGCCAATTCCTAGAAACTGACAATTCCAGCGAAGAGTCTAACACCTTCCTCCCTCTCTTTATAACGCCCAGGCCTTGCCTTCATATGACCATACAGCTTAGAGAGTGAGAGTTTTAGAGAGAAAGCAGTTTAGCGTGGGGAGGCGTTACTAACTTACTAGTTCATATCATTCTTTGAAAATTTATTAAAAACCAAAAATGGCCGGTGTTCACGAGAAAAACAATGTTGCAGCATCTGCTGCTGAAGATAATCTGGCCGGAAGCAGTAGAAGTGGCGGGCCTCTACGTAGCGAGAACTCGTACCGATGGAACCCTAGGGATGAGCCGCTGGTTCACGAACCAGTTGCTCGCCAACCCCCTGTCTTAACTTATCCCCCTCCGACTCCAGATCCCCGTGTAAGCTAATTACTTGCCTTGTGATGTCCTTGTAGCTTTTTCACCGTACATAATGATATTTGGGTTCTCTCAAGAAATGCTTTTTCTTACATAGCTGACTTTATGTTTCTCATGACTAATATATACATGTCATGCCTTGATCTGATATGAATTACCTAACCTCTTAATCTTAAGTTTCTCATATACGAATCACTGAGTTCCTTTTCTTTTCTGATCTGAAATTACACATGAACTGTGATGAATAAGAAAATTTCTAATAATTGAAATATAATGTAAATTTATAATACTTTCACAAACATTTGCGCTTACAAAAGCACGACATCTACATATTTCAATTTAGATAATAGTGTCGCTTTTAGAGTAGTTTCGCGCCTAAATTTTTAAAAGTGTTATGTCGCGTGTCAATTATAAAAAGGTAAGTAGGCATAATAGTGATTATTTAAGAAACGTTTGGTGCGTATATGACTTTTAAACGTTCATCAAGTATTTTGTGTTGTGTCTCAATTTTATAAAAGATAAATTTGATGGTAGCGTTGACCTTAGATCAATTTGGCGAGTATATTGTTTTCAGAGTGTTTGTAACAGTTTTGTGTCGTGAATCGTCAATTGTATGATATATAGTTAAGTTAGATAACATCATTGATTTTGGTTCATGTATCTCGTAGTGTCCGGAAATTGTTTTGTGTCACGTGCCAATTATATGATAAGTTGCAGATCGATGATATAACTTAACTTATTGTATCATATAATTGACACATGAAACAAAATAATTTGCAAATATCTTGAAAACAAAACACAGGCCAAACCGGTACAAAATCAACGATATTACCTAACTGACCTCATCATATAATTGATACACGGCATAAACAATTTGTAAACGCTCTAAAATTATATACAAGCCAAATCGGTCTAAAATCAATGGTATTACTTAACTTGCCTTATATATCATACGATAGATGGCAAGTGGCACAATACAATTTACGAACTCTTTAAGAACAACACTAAATCAGTCTAAAATCAACGGTATTACCTAACTGAGTTGAAGTATACATACTTATATGCACACATATTTAAATGAGTTGAAGTGTAATTTTGCTTATTATTTGTCTACATTCACAAATGATTACTTATTGGTAGATCCTTCTGCATTATTTTCAGCTATTCAATCCACAACAGATGAGGTTTTTGTTCCAGAAAAAATTACAGAATAGCGATGTCAAGGCAAATGGTCGCATTGTAGTACCAAAGGTTAGAACAAAATAATGTACATATGATCAGAACCATGTATTAAATTTCAGTTCTGATATCATACGTACGTATATAATAGGAATGTGCTTCTGCTTGAGTTGTATCATGACCATATATGTATTGCTTCAGCGAGAAGCCGAAAGCCATTTCCCTGTCCTCGTATCAAAGGAAAGAGGACTGTGGCTGCACTTGGACGATATGGATTATATGCAAGTTTGGACTGTCAGGTTCAGGTTAATATCAAGCCAACTCCCTATTAACCTTCTTTTTTCTTTTTCTTTTTTGCTTTAAATAAATTCTAAAATGTTATCGAATCTTTTTGCAGGTTTTGGCCCAACGAAAGGAGCAGGATGTATATACTTGATCATACAAGTGAACCTAAGCTCTAACTCAACTACACAATTCATCATATCATCACATCCTCAGACCACGTTTTTTTCTTAACAGAGCTGATTTTCACGCACCACCTCTCCTTAGCATAGTTATGATGGCTAGATTTGTTTTGAGGATATTCTGATCATTATAATTTTTTCAGGGAGCTTCATTCAGACGCATGGCTTGGACGCCGGGGATACGATAACATTGTTTAAAGATGATCGTCTTGGATCCTACGTGAGTGATTCATGTACATTCTTATAATATGTACAACCACATCAAGGTAATTCATTGACTTAATTGCTTGTTGGTTTAACACTTTTGCAGCTTATCCGAGCTAGAAGGGATGCTATGCGACTTTTAGCTCATCCTACGACACACAACCCCGTTCAGTTACCCCAAAGATTACCTTGTGACCCGTTGCAGGATTTTGGGGTCAACTTATTTGTTGTACCGCGAGTTTTGGAGTATAATCATCAAACGATAGAGAACATTGCGGTCAACATCGGGGTTACGGATGCGAGTCCTAGCACCAACAATCAAGTCAGTGTCCAAGCTGAAGAGGATCAGCGCACGACTGTGCATGAGCACAACAACGTTGAGGTGGCAGTGGCTCCGGTTGTAGAAGATCGTCAAACTACGGTGAATGAGAACAATGATGTTGGTACAGCTGAAGTTACGGACGATCATCAAACAATGATGATAAATGCGAACAATTACGTTAGTGATAACGTAAATGTTGCAAACGAGATGGTTTTTCCTAGTTTGGATGACCATAGTTCGTTTAAATTGCCGTCACTATCACCGTTATTTGGCAGTGATATTTCTAGATCCTCATATGAACTTGGCAATCCAATAGACGACTTCTGGAACGTTGGTATGGGTCAAATGGATTTTGACTTCAACTTCTCGTCACCCAAATAAAATTTTCATGCTTGCAATGGCACAACGAAAAGAGACGAGAGGCTTGATGTAAGTCGATAAGTGTATCTATGGATGTATTCTTTGCTGATTTTTTGTTTTGACGTATCTGTGGAACTATATCTTTCTGATGTATAACTTATTTTTACATCGATAAAAGGTTTGTATAGGAACAAGTCAACAAGCCCGTCTAGCTCAGTTGGTAGAGCGCAAGGCTCTTAACCTTGTGGTCGTGGGTTCGAGCCCCACGGTGGGCGCCAAAATATTTTTAGCATTATTTTTTGTTTCATAAACAATGGGCCAAAATTACAAAAATACATAGCATTATGGGGGCTTCGGTAGTTAGGTCACTTTGAACTATGTGGCCTCCCTCCTCATGTGAGAAATTTTTTTACCATTTACAAAAAATGGGAAAATTGCAGAGCTTCTTCATGAACCAGTCACCATACAATTACCAAATCTGCTGGCAACAATTGGGCAGCGTCTCAGCCAAAGGAAATCTGCTGGCAACAAATCATATTCTACTGGAAACTCGTTCGGTTGGTTTTAAGAAGAAGAACCTTGAAATTGTAGTTGACTTGATACATATATCAAATTCAAAACAAAGGTTGATGGTTGGTAACTAAAGCTGTTTTTCTTCGTCGCTTCGCTGCACTAAGTGCGAATAGTTGTAGCGTGTGTGCATTTGCAGCTCTTCACCGAAAAAAGTCGAGGTGATGGACTAGATAGACTATACGATGAAAGTCGAGGGAAGACAACATTCTCTCCGATGCAATACAGCAGGATAGTGATACTCCCCTCATTGATTTCTACCAGAATCGGCAGAGGGCACACTGCCCAGTTAAACTTAACGCAGTTACTTTACAGCTCCTACATATTTCACAAAGTTCGTGCTTTTAACCACAAATAGTAAACTAATCGAGTCTCTTTCCCATCTCGCTATTTTCTTTCTTTTCCCAGGTTGCCTGCAATTAAAAGCATTCAAAACATGACGTAAGAAATATACAGAGGACCTTTTTCTTATTTGGTTTTCTAATCAATGGAACTGGGCATTTAAGAGCTTAACCGATTTCATAGAGGACCTTTTTCGAATTTTTAACAAGGTTATAGAGGGTGCAGGAGTTGACTAATCCTGCATCCTCGAAGTAATTTTCTGTTCCTGATCAAGTGTCACTACCTGACGGATTAAGCTGGCTTTCTGTGTTCCTCTGTAAGTAATATGGAAGCGGAAGTCGGTGTAGCGTCCGCCAGAGACCCGAACTGGGTAGAGCTAGGCTCTAGCGCAGACGAAAATTGAGGTTCCAAGCAACATGGTCTCTGAGGTATATTATTATGTATATGATGTAGGAATTAGGACAGTTCAGAAGATTCAAAATGTAGTTTAACAACATAATGATTAATGATAAATAATCTTCCAGCTTAGTACCTCGGAAGCAGATGGATTTGCACTTTGGTTCAGCTCGCAGATGTACAGCATGAGATCCACCGAAGCAAGCTGCGCAGAGAGGCACTGCGCAAGGAAAAACAAGACCTGGACTGTTTTAGTGATCGTATATATACCAGGTTTTTCCTTTTAATTCAAGCAATATTCTAATTAATCTAATCGAAAATACGGGAGATTAAGCAAGCTTCTTCTAGCAATTAAAGGTGGAAGTAAATAGTAATTTATTACCTCGACTTGATTCTGCAGTAACTGGACGTATTTGATGATCTCGTCCAATATCTGAGCCTTGCCAGTTATCTTTAATTGTCATGCATATAAAATGAAAGATTTTAACTCTCAACTACTAATTTTCTCTGAGAAAATCGTGTGAAAAATACCCAAAACTTGAATATAAGTCCGTACCTGATCACAACCAGGAACAAGGGACTGCAAAAGTTTCATTCTCGTACTGATTTTCTCCCTTCTTGCCTGGAAAATCAAACTTTAAATTTACGTAAATTTCAAGTTATTTCGTAAAAAAATATGGGAGAGTCGTGCCTCTGCGTAGCCAAGTTGACTAGATTAGAACATCGCTCTAGCAGTTTAGATTCGATAGAATATCGCTCGAAGTCAAAACAAAACAGGAAGAACTTGTAAATAAAATACCCTTTCAGCAAGGCTGTGACTATTAGTTGCTTGACCCCTTCTTGCTTTCACACGAACCCCATCTCTTTGGAATTGGACCTCTTTATCTGCAGCAGCAACTTTGCTCTGTTTATTTGCTCTGTTTTTGCTCATCTGTTTGGCGAGCTTCTCTTCTTCCTAACCAAGATTAACCACAAAAAATTAATTAAGTGTTAATTGCATCATTTCACACAAGAAAATAAAACCCAATTCCCAAATCACCACCCCAACCATTCTAATTGTGAACAAGACCCTGACCCAACGACGAATCTTCTGCTGCTTAAGGAAGAAAAAAAATCCCAAACCACCCAAAAAACAAAACCCAATTCCCAAACTTTCAAGAAAATGAAAACCCAACTCCCCAAATGCAGCGTGAAATGCTACCTGCGAAACCATTTTCTTCCTCTGTTTTCTCCACTAGGGTTTTTGAGTCATGAGCACCACGACATGTATGTTTCAAGTAGTTCAACTTTCAATGCATGTAGCACTGAAAGGGACTAATCCAATATGCCCCATGAGCCAGCTTTCGAGTATCGAGAAGCTCATCAATTTATAAGGTTTCATGGATTTGGACACGCAGGGGAATCTCCTGAGGTTTTTCTCCCATCTGAGTTAGTATAATTGGAGAGAAACAGGCGGTGATAGGGATCGGTTGCTTTGTTTCCCGAAATGGGGTAGACAGTTTCTTGGCTCTTGGGGCACGAAATACGAGCGGAGAGAGCTATCTGGGTGGGGGAGGTAATGGGGAAAAAGGCCAAAGGCTGCAAAATTATGAGTAGCTTGGGTGTTGAACTGTAAAGTTCGATGGGTCTGGTTCTTCATGATACATGTGATAGATACGTTGGCTGATGAGACTGAGAGGGAGAGTGGGCCTTTTGTTTGAGAATCAGAGAGACTCAGAGGAAAGCACCACATCATGTGAAGTTTTATTCTTTTATGTATCAACGCATGCATGTAATTGTTTCAAATTTAAAAGTTTGTGATGTTTCGCTTATTTCTTTTCAGTTGTGAACGAGAGGTTTTGCATTTAAATATTGTGAAAACGAATTCGATACTAATATATTCTGAAAGAGGATCTTCTTCAGATCATTAAATTTCATCCGTTCATCGTATATTGTGCGGTCATAAATTCTTGTAAATTTTTTTTATTCAAAATTGAATATAAACAGTAGCTGATGAAAATTGATCACACGATGAACAATAAACGAACACGATTAGAGGATCCGGAGAAGATCCTCGTACATATATTCTCTCATATATGATTGTAAATATATCGTTTGTGTCAAGAAAAATAAAACAAAAAAGTCTTTTATGTTAGCAGTATTTTCATATGTACCTTTTATATTTTTCTTTTCGTTTACTTATGCAATCTTGCAACGTTTTAATAATTAAACCTTATATTTTCTCTGTCACCCGTTAAAGATCAATGATGTGAAAGATTAACTAAAAGTCATAAATCGTTTAGTAGTTTGACTAATTTATAAAATTTCAATGTTTAATTGAAAAGTGTGGTCTATTTTTTTTTTTTTTCATATAACAATTCGACAATTAAACAATTTCAAATTTAATTAATTTTTAAAAATAATTGGTAATCATAAACTTAAAAAAAGTCAATTATGATCATTAAACAACATTATCTATACTACTAAGAAAATGCTAAACCTCTTTCAAAAAATTGTGAGGCATATGTCCCTAGCACTTACTGTATTAACAATTTTAATTATCAATGATATTCATTTAAAACTGCAAATGAATTATTAAAATATAAAACAATCTCCAATTCTCATTTTTTCCTCACATGTTTTCTTTGCAATAACTCCCCTCAAATGCTCTATACACGCATAGCATGTGGGCAATTGCTAATAAAATCATAAAAGAAATCAGAAGATAGAACGAGAAAAATGCTAACATTTATGTTAAATAAATTTATATAAAACTATCATATATGACACTTTAAAAGATCACACAATGCAATGTAAGCAATACAATACAATGTCGAATTTTTAGTAACCGAATTTCCAATATAAACCTTTTTATTTCTTATATTATATTATTACTAGAATATGGGCACACACAAAGCGTGTAAGAAATTTTTTTATTTTTTATTTTTTGAAATAGAAGGAGAGAGGGAGAGAATGATAGAGAATGTGGGAGTGAGAAGTTTTTTTTTTTTTTTTTTAATTAGAGATATATTATGATTATATGTATGTGAGACTTTGAAAAAAAAACAACAAAATTTGGTTGTGTGAAATTACATTTCTATCCCATATTTCTTATTCATGTTCTGTTTTAATTGAAATGATAAACTGATAATTTCATAAAATTTTGGTTGACAATGAGTGTTTTATTAATTAGTAGAGATTAGTTTATTTTATTTTATTTTTGTATTTGAGATGAATTTTGCTTAGGGACCTCATAATTCAAACTCAAACAACCCAGTAATAATCGGTCCAATAAGGAGAGATTAAATCGTCTCAGCTGGAGCCCCATTTGTTCATTTCATCATAACTATGGGCTCAAACATCTCTTCTCCATCTACTACGAGCTTGAATTCTCTGCTTTCATTTATGTCCCCTTCCGTCCTCCCTTTTTAATTTAGAGCATTTAAAATAAATCTGACCGTTTGAAATTTTACCGCATATTTAAAGAGCCTCATCAAATATGCGGCACAATTCCATGCCATCAGATTTATTTTGAACAATCTAGATTAAAAAAAGAGGGTAAGCGAGAATAAAAATAGGAAGGGAGATAATTCTCCTCCATCTACTACATTGGTTTTCTTCGGTCTGAACACTGAAGTGGTTGTGTGTACTTTGTGGGAGTGTACCATGTTCAAGTGTTGGCTGTGTTGTCCTCAAAGTGGTAGTGATGTGGTTGGAGCCGGGGAGTGTAATGTACAACGACACCCAGCTTACCACTAGAGGAAGCAATGCTTACTTGTCCAATGACATTAGCACATGCATTTTCCTAAGAATTTGTAACTCACATCAGATTTCGAGTTATTTATTTTTACAACTAATTAGAAGCGTTACAAATTTGAATTTTCTTCCATCGGTAAAAAAAAATCAAATTTTCTTCAATAGTTCGGACTTCTCAATAATACGAAAATGAACCGTCATGATTAAATTGAGAAAATATTGTTTTTGCTTACTTGTTAGTCTTATGAATATGCTATTGAAGACTTATCCCAAAAAGATTATATGAAGTTGGTGTACTTTTGTTTTCCATGTTGCCTTTGAAATTCAAGTTGTTCAACTTTGAGTTGGCTACATATCATAAAGCTTTGTGACAGATATATATTTGCACCCACAATAGTTGGCTAGACCAAGTGCGTTCAATACTACAAATAGTTAATCACATTTGCTGCAAAATAAAAACCGGGAAAATGTTGGTGCCGAAAAAGCAAAACACCAAAAACAATGGAAAAAACCGACTACTTAGGTACCATTTGGTACGTGGGACGGGAAGGAACGGAGTCGGACGAGGCGTTCCGTTCTATGTTTGGTGCGCCTAAAACGGGTGGAACGCGATGTTCCACAAGACGAATTTTGAGTGAATTTTCGTTCCGCCTCACGGAACACAAAATTATAATCTCTCCGTCTCCTTCTTCTTCCTTTGTTTTCATCTGAGGGTATATTTGTTCCCTCTCCGTTCCGTTCCGTCCTGTCTTGTCCTGTCCCGTCTGCATACCAAACGATACCTTAATGAACACAAAGATCACTAATAGCAAGAAAATACGAATCACAAACAGCAACAACATTTTATGTGTAAAACTTTATAATAGAACTTGTAATAGAACTTGGTTAAGTGTAAAACTTGTAATGGAACTTGGTTCGATTAAGTTTGGTTTTCAAATTATTAAAACTTATGGTGAACTACTAAAATGTATATTAAGCTCACTAACATAGAGTTTAACTAATTACAAGTTTTGAAAATTCATCAAGGCTGATCATTTTCATTAAAAAGAACGAGAGTTGAAATATCCGAAATAACTTTAAAATCTCTAAAATAATCTTGGAAGTGACCAGAATGAAAAGTTGAAATGTTTGAAATAATCTTGAAAATAAGTCATCTACCTTGCACATGATTTATTTTAATTTTTAGATAGAAAACTTAATACAGATAGGATCCGATGACCAATTAATAATTTTTGAAACTTAATACGATAAATCGCTTAAAATTTTAATTTATACGATAAATTAAAAATATGAATACAAGTTTATATGATATTTCAAAAGTTTACTCTTAATTTTATTACATCAATTTTAATAATTTTTTATGAATTGATGTGACGGCAAAAGAGGCGAAAAAGAAAATGGAATAGTGTTTGGGCGGCGATCCATCCAAGCGTCCAGGTCATAACCCACAACTAGTCAAATGAGGAAAGGATCTTTTTCGGATTTCTTCATTCTAATTCATTAAATTCGAAAATTAAGATCGTTAAAATTTGATCTAACAGGTACAAATTAAGATTACAAATTAGATTAAATTTCAACGATTCGGATATTCAGATTTGATAGATTTAAAAGAATGGATCCGGAAAGAATCCAAAATGAAACAAACTCCCACCGAGACAAAATTACCAATTTATTCCTAATGGAGCCAATTTGCTTTTGTCATTTAAATCCCTCACCTGGATCACCTAGCTTTTTACGACCAAAAAGAAAAAAGGATCACCTAGCTTTTCCGGATTGATAACGTGGACGGTCCAGATTTAAACTCATTGCGTGTACTAGATTCCCTCGTCCTTATAAACTCTCTCCCCTTCGCCTCTTCTGCTCTTTAATCTCTCATCTCTCATCTCTCATCTCGTCCTTTTCTCTTATTTTTCTGTAATATTTTTTTCCTCTCCCGATCGGAAAGCGTAAATAATCCCAAAGATCGGGATCTCAAAACTCCGCCAAACAGATCTGAAAACCCAGAAATTTCTACGAAAGATTCAGATTCTTTTCATTTCTTGAATCCGATCGTAATTTACGGCGTTAAATTTCCATATTCTGGAAAAAAAAAATATAAAAAGAGGAAAAATTAAACCCTAAAAGTCAATTTTGTGTAAGCGAAAGATATTATGTAATTTGTCTGTGGAAATTATTTTGGTGGTGGGAAAATTTGGATAATTTTTTAGCGATTTATGGTCGCTGGTGGATTTGGGTGGAACAATTTCATAGAAATCGAGGAAATTTTAGGGGGTGGTGTGATGGGGAAAGACGATGAAAGTGCGAAAGTGGTTGAAGATGTAGAAGAAGGGGAAATTTCGGATTCGACTTCGGTGGAGGAGATCAGTGAGGAAGATTTTGTCAAGCAGGAGAAGCAGCAGGAAGTTAAGGTGGTGGTTCCGCTGCCGCCGCCACCCAAGGATCAGTCTAAATCCAACGGCGGAGATGATGCTAGGGTTTGGACGATGCGCGACATCTACAACTACCCGGGATTTCGGGGGTACAGGTCCGGCTTGGTTAACCTCGCTTGGGCTCAGGCCGTACAGAATAAGCCGCTCAATCAGCTTCTGCAGGTGAATGACCCCGACGAGAAATTGAAGCGATCGTCGTCGTCGCCGTCGTTGATTTCGTCCGAAAGGAGCAACGCGAAGGAAGTGGATGGAGTGGTGATTGTTGATAGTGGTGATGAAATGGATGCTGAGAAGGAGGAAGGGGAGTTGGAGGAGGGCGAGATTGATTTGGATTCGGAGCCTGCCGATGGCGAAAACACGGCGGCAGCTGAGGAGGCTAGAGATGGTGTTTTGGTTTGTGATGATATGG